AAGATCCTTCAACTTCAGTCCCTCCAACCTCGTTCGTTGATCTGCTGGCATCGCTGCGGTGGGTTCTGCTACTGCAGTTTCATCCACGACCCAAAGTTCTTTGGACCGTAAGAAATTCTCCATCAGCATGCTCCAATGATCATAATGACCATCAAAACGTGGAATAGCTGGTTGAACATAATTTTCTGAGGCCATAAATTAGTTGTTGCTGCTGCTATAAAAATGTAACAATTAACTTGGTTCTGATACCAAATGTAGAGATAACAACTCAGAATAATGAAGAAGAAAAAGGTTCTGAAAATTGGAAGAAGGGAAAATCATGCAGTATTTATTCATCAGGAACATAAGCTATTTATAGCTAGTACATGGCACAAAAATAGGGGAATGCAGTGACACTAATAACACCGCTATGCCACAATTAACCAAATGCAAAAGAATAGCAAATACACCTAACAACCTTGACTTTATTAAATTAATTTTCCTAACAAGAAAATGTGGATTTTAGTCAATTAATTATACCGATATTCTAGATATGGTCCATGAATTATTACTATACATAAAATTTTCCCTTTAATTATGTTTAAAGTGGCAATTTTAGTCCATCACTAACAAATCATGTTAATATTAATAATGCATTTTAAAATTTCAAATTATTGAGGGACACCTTAGTCATTTTTTATTTATATAATTTTGTATTAAATAATTAATTAATTAATTACTTGTTGAGTTTGACAGACATTTTTTGTTTTTTGTTTTTTGTCATTGGAGTGTAGCTAAAAATTCAAAAGTGTTTTGATTTTTTTAAGTTTACTAATTATTATGAATTTAAGTACGTTGTTGTTTTCATGTCAAAAAATTAGAATGAGTATTCGATCAATATATAAGCACATTTAATTCAAATGACATTTCCATTTTCTTTAAAGAATAAAAACAAATAAAAAAGAGAGCAATGATTCTACCAATATTTTGTATTTTTATTTTCCATTTGCAAAAAGACATCACAAAAAATGAGCATCTATTAGATCATTGACATATATATAAAAAAAAAAGTTATGAAATAGTTTATTCACATAAAGAAATGTTAATATTAAAAATTGATATGTATATACATATTACAGTTTACAAATTAATGACTGTTATTTGAGCATCTATTTTGCTTAAACGCTCTTCAAGAATCTATGTAAGAAACAAAAACATTACAAATAGAACATATTGACGATATATTACACATATATAAATATGAAACCAGCATATAAATATCACCTTGATTATTTAGAAAGATAAATTCATTTCTAGCAATCTAAAGCTAAAGATAAATCTTAGAAAACTAGCAATCTTCATTACAAATGAAGAGAATCGGTATATATAAAGATTTAGTTGATAGAATTTGAGAAAATTAAAGTCTATGAAATGACTACTATGTCTTTCAATAATTTGAAAATTTGAAGTGAAATGTTAGTTTTAATAGAATTTGTTACTAATGGATTAAAAGTGTCACTTTTCACATAATTAAAGGAGAAAATATGTATATTGTAATGATTCATAGACTTCTACAATATAGGTATAATTAATGAACTTAAACCGCCATTTTTTTCATAAATATAAAACAAATTTATTAAACAAATACAACATATTCATTTTCACATACAAGTTTATTTCAAAATTTCACATGTTCATGTTCACAATTGTAATGCAACTACATTATAATGATGAATAGATTCATTAATGAAATGTTGCATATTCATTTTCACTATATTGGTAGTTAATTTTTACAATAATAATGCAACTATATCACAATCTTGATATATGCTCAAAAAAATATCAAAATCTTGATGAACCTAAAATAGGTTCATTAAGAGAATACTAGAGGTTTATTCTCACAATGCAGAAATTTCATTTTATAAATATTGCAAGTTCATCAATAAACAACTAATATAAAATATATTATTATGAGTATCATTCAAAAGATCCCAATGATATATTTTTAATGATATATTTTGTAACATTTATTTTATTTATACAAAAACTTTAAAAATCGATAAGCTTAATACTCCTACTATTATATCATTTACTTTTCCTAAATACACCTGCATTTTATCGGTGTAAACTTCAATTCAGTAACGAAATATTCCGTTAACTATTTATTATTCTTAACTTACTAATTGATTTTCATATGGATTTTTTTACGTTCGAACTCCATTCCAATCAAAATTTAAATAATTGTTAAACATATATATATATATATATATATATATATATATATATATATATATATATATATATATATATATATATATTACCCATGTGATCGCTCACTCTCTTCAGTCTCTTGCCAGAGCTTCTTGCTCGTATATTGGTCAAGAGGCGTGTGATGCATATATCCCTCATTGTATTCATGATTTGATTTCGCAATAATAGTCCGCTTTGATGGTTGTTTAAAAAAAATACAATATAAAATTTAATATGAACTTTGGTCAATTAATTAGAATCACACATTGGGCATTGATGAAACGGTACACCTAATTTACAATATATATTCAACACATATGAAAAACTATGCATATTATCATTGTCTTTTTGATGAAGGAGGCTTTGGTTCTGTTTTTTGAATGTGCACTGCACCAAGGCAATAAAATTGCAGTGAAGCGCACCAGGAGACTAAATCAAATCAAGAATTCATTTCTTGCAGAAGTGGCAACTATAAGGTGCAAGAGGAAGCATGAATCACGCCAACTAATATGATTTTGTGCTTCCTCTAAAACTGTTATTGCACTAGTTAATCCAATATTTTTGCCACTGGTCATAGTTATGCATTCTTTAAATATTTACTTTTATGAAAAATTTGATAATCTTGCATTGATATGCGTCATGATACTGAATGATACTTTGATAAATTCTGAAACACTAATTTAAAATTATAAATTGAGCATTACACTATTCGCACAATGCGCGTGTGGTAACTAGTAATATGTATAAGTGATGATATGCAAATTGATGACATCTTAATTAACCTAAAATATTGTTATAATGAATAGATAATAATATTATAATAACGAATCATTACCAATGATACTTTTTAATAAACTTACAATATTATAATAATGATGAACAATGATTCATGATATAATTTGTAAACATTGACCGAATCACTATACCATAGAATATGATACACTTTGTAATGTGGATCACTGATATAAGATTCATTTTTAGTATATTGAATTATCATTTTTAATATATTGAATGTTTATTTTGTATATTAAAAATTCATTTTTAAGTATGCTACTTAAAAATATTTTAGAATAAGGGTTAAATACGCCATCGAACTGCACCCAATAATGCAATTAGGCCACCAAACTTTAAAAAGTTACAATTGAGTCACTGAACTAACCAATTCTATTCAATTAGTCCATTTGTAGATTTTTCAAGTTGTTAGCAGGTCACCCCTAAATTAAAATATTTTAAAAAATTTATTATTTAAAATAATTATTTAAAATTAAAAAAATAAAATAAAATAAAAAGATATCGTCTCCGCCAGAGACGAAGAAACCTTCTTCGTCTCCGGCCATGGAGATGGAGATTACTTCTTCGTCTCTGGCCTGAGACGAAGGAACCTCCTTCGTCTATGGCCAGAGACGAAGAAGTTATCTCCGTCAACTCTTCGTCTCCGACCATGGAGACGAAGATAACTTTTCTTTGTCTCCAGCCAGAGATGAAGAAGGTTTCTTCGTCACCGGCAGAGTCGATCTGTTTTTTTTTTTCTTTTTTTTTTTAAATTTTTTAATTTTAAATAATAATTTTTAAAAAAAAATATTTTGAAAAAGGGTGACTTGCTAACAACTTGAAAAATCTACAAATAGGACTAATTGAATAAAATTGATTAGTTCAGGGATCTAATTGTAATTTTTTTTTAAAAATTTAGTGACCTAATTGCATTATTGTGTGCAGTTCAATGACCTATTTGATCCTTATTTTAAATATTTTTAATACATTAAAAATGAATTTTTTTTTTCTCAAAGGAATGAAAATTTAGTAATACCAAAACTAAAAATTTATTCATAATTTACATTACCGACCAAGTTTCACAATATAATTTGAGAACATTGAACCTGGCCCAAGAGGGTCGTTATATCGTGCACCGCGGTGCATAATCGATTATGCACCGCGCGTCAGACACTACAGTGTGTCTAAACCGACACTGGCTCACGTATTATTTTTATATTATTAAATGAAACTACAGTTATATCAAAATGATACTGTAGTTGTTGTGAAATGAAACTACAGTATATATAAAATGAAATTGAATAACATTTCACATATTTGAGTGTATATTGTACAATGAAGCTGTAATTATATTCAAATGATCATGTAGTTGTGTTTTAATGAAATTTTAGTGTATATAAAATAAAATTAAATAATATTTTTACATATTTGAGTGTATAAATATTGAATGAAACTGTAGTTATATCGAAATGAAACTGTAGTTGTGTTGAACTGAAACTGCAGTGTATAAAAAATGAAACTGAAAAACAGAGTTATTTTTTGCGAAGATTCTGTTTCTTTTCATTAAATAAAACGACGTCGTTTTGAAAGTGTTGATTTAGACACAGTATAATGTGTGACGCGCAGTGCATAATTGATTATGCACCGCGGTGCACGATATAATTTGCTGGCCCAAGACGTGTTGCGCAAATATTTTTAAAAATCGTGATTTTGGATTAAAGAATTTATTTCTCCCTGGTTTTGATCACATAATTATGTGATACTCCAGTAGTCCAGTGCGTATTTATAAACGTGTCTTTGACATCGACAGAATATTTGGTATCTAATAAAAAAAGTTGAAAAATACATAGGAGAAGCATGTCACATGCCACGTCAGATGAATACTGGTTTGAGCACACCATACCAGCTAACCTTTTCAATTTTGTCATATTCTGGTTGGAATCTTCTGTCTCCGTTTCTCTTCATTTTCCTTCGATTTTAAGTTTGTATAGTAATCATAATTAGGATGAATTATCTGATGGATTAATTATTTAATTAGCAAAGTGAGTATGTCATTATCTTATCTCTGTCCTTGTCTTCAATTCTAACTACTCTTCCTCTTCTTCTTCTTCTTCATAGCCACAACTTTCTGAAGCTCAACAAAAAGGAAGGGGAAAAAGGACTTACTTTTTTCTTCAGGCTCTGATACCCAGATAAAGCTCAAAGCAGGTAATTTCCCCCTCTTTCCCCTGGGATTTATGGGTATGTGAAAGATCTTCAGTTCTAAATCTTGATCAAGAATACCAAGTCATTTTTATAAGGTTGTACTGATTTTATTTGTGGGTTCTTCTTCATTAGCTTGCAAATGAGAGTTATCTTGATTTATTCATACTAGATATAGAAAAGCTGCAAGTTGGGTGATAATTTTCTGCAGATAGGTTTTTAGATTCTTGTATTATTCTTGGTACTATCATACTTTTTTTGTTGTTGGTTTTATGTGGTGAGGGGTGGATTGATTTTTACTTGTTAGGTACATAAAGGAACATCAAACCAGTTAATTAAATGCAATTTTTCTATTTATAACTAGGAATCTTGTACAATGATTCTTGCTCATGTTATTTATTCTTGTTTTACTGCTAACTTTCTTGAATTCTAGAATCTGTGGTTGTTAATGAAATGGAACTTTATTGTATATTCTTTCAATTCTTATGTTTCTCTTTTGGTATGGATTTACTTTTGTTTTCATAATTATTGTTTCCACATAAAAATTCTTATTACAATTGAAGCTTTGAGTGAAAAGGAGAGCATAAAGATGGAGTTGACTCTTAAGCATTCTGATCCTTTAGTTGTGAATATTAGAAAACCTAATGTCAAGTTTGTTTATACTCATCAGAATATTCTAATTTTTTTTGGATGATGAGGGAAACCTCACAACCCTTTTGGGTGTGAAGAATATTCTAATTTAGTACTAAAAGATAATGCTTTATTTTGACATGGATGGGTCTGTTGTGAAGATGAACCATCAAAGAATATTTTTTCTTTCTTTTAGATTGGCAAAACGTGAAGTTATCTTCTGATACATAAACAATCTGGAAACAATGTACTTTTACCTTTGTTGAATGGTTAACGCTTTTAGTTTTATTTCTTAATTTTTTCTATGACAGCTGAAGCTAATAAACCCCAAAAAGCTTCTTCTTTGTGCGTATAATTTTATGAACCTGTCCACAGGCCTGCATTAAGATCTCATTAAATAGATCCTAATAAAATTGAAATGGAAGCTTTCTCATACACTTAAAACATATATCTTAGTGGGGGTAACCCCGGCCAGCCAAGATGACTAAAGATACAAACTTGTAACCACAAGGTCACGAGTTTGAATCCTAGCATTATTGGTTTGAGCCAGTCAGCTATGGGTAACCTAGGCTAGTTTACTTCCTTGTGGTCCTTTGCTGGCTAGGGTCACAAGACGGGCAGAGCACATCCTCGAGTAGTGGCTGCGGGTTTCCCTCGTCACCTCAAAACTTACATCTTAGCTGTTATTTGAGAAAACATTGTCAAGACACATTGCTAGCTAGTTTAATGATTTCTCTGATATGGATGCATTGTTGTATTATTGACCACTAATTGAAGACATTGCTCGAATTTGTGCTTTCTTGTTGAATGCTCATCCTTGTGCAACTATTTCATGTCTTGTCCAGCATCATTTCTTTGTGGAGACATTCTCAATTTGTGAATTGTTCTGCGTTTATAAGCTTTATAAGTAGTTTTACTATTTCTTTTTCAGCTTGTCATCCACTTTATCTCCATATTTGCTTCGTCAAGGGATCAAAGTTACTCCATGAGCAACCTCAAGCTAGGGGTAGAAGTGGTGAGTGCCCATAATCTAATTCCTAAAGATGGGAAAGACTTATCCAGTGCCTTTGTGGAGATTCACTTTGATAACCAGAAGTTTCGCACGACTGTCAAAGAAAAGGATCTTGACCCTGTTTGGAATGAGACGTTCTACATTAATATACCCGATCCTAATCGCTTGCCTAAACTCACACTCGAGGCTCTTGTTTTCAACAATAATAAGACTGGCCGGTCGAAATCCTCTCTTGGGAAAGTTTGTATAGCTGGATCATCTTTTGTTCCCTATTCTGATGCTGTTGTCTTGCATTACCCTCTCGAGAAGGTGGGCGTTTTCTCCCGTGCTAGAGGAGAGCTTGGCTTGAAAGTCTTTATCACAGATGACCCCTCTCTTAGCACCTCGAACCCTTTTTCAATGGATTTTCCTTCACATTCCAATAATACAGAGCCATTCTCTAATGGGAAAAAAGGGTCGAGACATACTTTCCATCACCTCCCGAACAGAAAGCACGAACAACAACAGGCTCATTCTCCATTTGTAGACTCTAGGATGGGTCAGATGTTATCTGAACCTCACGATCCAAAACTAGTCCGAGTGTATTCGGGTTCATCATCACAGCCAGTTGAGCATATGCTTAAAGAGACCAGCCCTATCCTTGGAGGGGGACAAGTTGTCGGGGGACGAGTTTTAAGGAGAGATAGACGTGCCACGACTTATGATCTCGTAGAGCCTATGGAATTTCTTTTCGTACGAGTTGTGAAAGCCCGCGATCTCCATTCCAAAGATTTTACGGGAAGTCTCGACCCTTATGTGGAAGTAAGAGTGGGGAATTACAAAGGAATCACGAAACACTTTGAAAAAACAGAAAGTCCAGAATGGCATACGGTGTTTGCATTCCCGAAAGAAAGGATGCAGTCATCTGTTTTAAACGTCGTGGTTAAGGATAAGGACATGGTGAAAGATGACTTTGTGGGGATTGTCCATTTTGATCTCCATGAGATCCCCACTCGAGTTCCCCCAGATAGTCCATTGGCCCCGGAATGGTATAGCCTCGAAAACAAGAAAGGGAAGAAGAATAAGGGAGAATTAATGCTTGCCGTGTGGATTGGCACACAAGCTGACGAGGCTTTCCCCGATGCTTGGCATACCGATGAAGCTAGTCTAATTGATGTCTCATCTCCATCTACCCATATCCGCTCGAAAGTCTACCATTCCCCGAGGCTATGGTATGTTCGAGTCAATGTTATTGAAGCACAGGACTTGGTTACAGACGAGAAAACTCGCCTCCCGGATGTTTATGTCAAGGCACAAATTGGAAGCCAGATTCTAAAGACAAGGCCCGTTAGAAGTCAGACCATGAATGCACAATGGAACGAGGATCTCATGTTTGTTGCTGCTGAACCATTTGAAGAACACCTTATACTCTCTGTTGAAGACCGTGTGGCTTCCAACAAAGACGAGAGCCTCGGGCAGGCCATTATACCATTGAACGAAGTTCAAAAGCGTGCTGATAATCGATTGGTTCAAGCGGGATGGTACACCCTCCAAAAATCTGATGTCGAGGAGCCTAAGAAAGTCAAATTTGCTACTAGAATTCATCTTCGTATTTCCCTTGACGGAGGGTACCACGTGTTTGATGAATCTACACACTATAGTAGTGATCTCCGTCCAACAATAAAACAGCTCTGGAAACCGTCAATTGGAATCTTGGAATTAGGCATTTTAAATGCTCACGGTCTCCAATTGATGAAAACGAGAGACGGAAGGGGCACGACGGATACGTATTGTGTGGCAAAGTATGGTCACAAATGGATTCGTACGAGGACCATCGTCGACAGTGTAAATCCAAAGTACAACGAGCAGTACACTTGGGAGGTTTACGATCCCGCTACTGTTCTTACAGTAGGCGTCTTCGATAATGGACAGCTAGGGGAGGATGGCAAAAGAGACATGAAAATTGGTAAGGTCCGTATTCGAATCTCTACACTTGAAGCCAACCGGATTTATACCCATTCTTATCCATTGTTAGTGCTTCACCCTTCGGGTGTGAAGAAAATGGGCGAGCTACATCTTGCTATACGATTTTCGTGCACCTCGACTGTTGATATGATGTGTATATACTCGAGACCCCTTCTGCCCAAAATGCATTACGTGAAACCGTTGTCTATGGCACAGCAAGAAATGCTGCGCCATCAAGCTGTCAACGTAGTGGCTGCTAGGCTTAGCCGGGCAGAGCCTCCTTTAAGAAAGGAAGTGGTCGAGTACATGAGCGATGCGAATTCGCATCTTTGGAGTATGAGGCGGAGCAAGGCGAACTTTTTCAGACTCATGTCGGTCTTCAATGGGTTGTTTTCTGCAGCGAAATGGTTCGGGGATGTGTGCATTTGGAAGAACCCCGTGACAACGGGACTGGTTCACATTCTCTTCACTTTGCTCGTTTGTTTCCCGGAACTCATTCTCCCAACTGGATTTCTCTACATGTTCCTAGTAGGCCTTTGGAATTACCGGTACCGAGCTCAGTACCCTCCTCACATGAACACGAGAATATCCTTTGCTGATTCAGCACAACCCGACGAGCTCGACGAGGAATTCGACACGTTTCCCACGTCGAGGAGCCCGGACCTGGTAAGAGTGCGGTACGATCGCCTGCGAAGTGTGGCTGGTCGGATTCAGACAGCGGTGGGTGATGTAGCGACGCAAGGAGAGCGGGTTCAGGCGCTCCTGAGCTGGCGGGATCCCCGTGCCACAGTCATTTTCATTGTATTCTGCCTTGCTGCTGCCATCGTGTTGTACGTGACGCCTTTCCAGTTGTTCGCTATCATGGCGGGGTTTTTCGTGATGCGGCATCCCATGTTTCGACATAAGTTGCCTCCTGCACCTCTCAACTTCTTCCGCAGATTGCCAGCAAAGACTGATAGTATGTTGTAGGTCATTAAGGTTTGGTCTTCCTGAATCCTGGTACTTGAAGGAATCTGGTCTTGCTTTTATCACTTGTGTTTAGATTCTGTTAGATTTTCTGGTGCTGTCAAGAAGTGTGTAAACAATGTAGTAGAAGGAGAGAGCTAGCTTGTAATAAATAGAGAGAATGGTTTGTATTATTATGCATGCAATATCCTGCCCAAGAACTCCAACTGTGAGTTGAGTTGCTGGTTTGTCAAAATTGCATTCCCTCATTTTGCGATTGGAAATGTCCGATAATGCTTCCCGTGTGGTTGTGCGGTTGGACCCACTTTAAGAATTAACATGGCGCATTTTAAGTACACAAACTCCTTAAGCACACAAACAAAGCACCTTAAGAAAACAAATCACTCATCGTAAGTACATAAACCACGCACCTTAAGCACAGAACAAAGCACATTAAGCACAAAATTCACGCACTTAGCCGGTTGAGAATCCTTCTTCACTTGTATATATTGAATGGACAGAATATGAGGAATGAACTCTATAAATTAATGCTTTGAGTGTTCAACCTTAATGCTTTACAAAGTAGCATTTTATAGAGGTAAATTTAAACCTCTTTGGTCTGAAAAAGTGCAGCCCTTAATTCCTCAAATTAAGCTGCATCTCCTGATTTAAAAGAGCATGCAAATAGGGTCTTGACCAAATTGAAATCTTGAATGAGCCTTACCTCCTCTTCTAACCTGCTTCCTGGCGTTGATACAGACTCAATTCGCTGACACAGATATTGGACTAGGTCCAGAACCTAACAACTAATAATTTTGACAACTAATTTATGCCAACTAAAGTGGGTTTTAATGTGTAACACTTTTTACACTTACACCTTTATATATATAGAGAGAGACTAGTAACTCATGTATAAAAATAAAATGTATATACAAATTGTTAGAAGCTTATGTAACTTGGTTGGTCCTTAAAATTTTATAGCATAGGATATGGGTTCAAATTAAACTTCACTTTTTCTTTCCCTTCACAAGTGAAAATTCATGAATCTATCCGCCCCTGCATGGATGAGAGATCATGCAACTCGGATCCAAATTCGAAATTAAACCAACTTTCATTGATTATATTACAAATGTTTTATTGAAAACGGGAAATTTCAGGCCATAGATTATATAACCAAAAGTCACTGCAGCATTATTCGAAAGGAAAACATGAAACCTAGTAATAATAGATTAATGATAGATGGACTGACAATGGGGTAATGGGCCACCCCTATTTTTATTGGAACGGCTCTAGTGATGACTTAGCTCAAGCTAGCTAGTCGTCGGTCCAGGTTACATGGAGCTCACCCCATTGGTGTTTCGGGACGCCTAAGGCCTTCCACACTGCTTTCGAGCCATCAACTATGTTACTACGGCATCCCCGGTTGGAGTCACACTCATCCACAACCTTAGCCCTCACGCTCCGCCCGTTCCCGTGGATGGTGATATGGCGGTGGCAGCGGTGGCCGTGGTTGTACCACCTAGTGGAAAGCGCCACGACCAAGGTGTCATCGGAGTGGAAGTGGCCGTCACACTCGGATGCACCGCCCCCATCTCCGCCCTTCTCGAAGCTGTTTATGGTAAGAACCGCCTTCTCTCCGGACACATGATGCCCATGCAAGCATTTGTGGCCTCTTTTGCCGCCATGCTTACATCTTTGATGATGTCTAGCCTCGAAGGGCTCTGTTGAAATGGCAAAGACGAGAAGAACAAGAAGAGCGCCTGCTACTGATCTCAAGTTTCTCATCGATCCTACCTTATAGCCTCTATTTGTTTCTATGTTCTGTGGAAAATGTTTGGTTTATATACAAGTTTGAGTGCATAACATGCCAAGGGTTTTTGTGAGTGATGAAACTTAAGTTACCCTTGGAATTGAAGAAATATCTTTGATTCTGGGTTGCTCTGAGAATTTTTTTATGAAGAAATTCTAGCTTGGTGTCAGCTTTTAACCATAAAGACAAATTTGCTGTGTGTTGATTAAGAATATCCAAACCAAGGCTAGTTCATTAGTGCTACTCGGATCCAAGAATCTCCAACATAGATTTAAGCTGCGGAATCATTTATTTATGCCAAAAACTTGTGTTGTATTGAGACAAGTTAGTCAAGATGAAAATGTAATACTGAAAAATATAATACTAATCAAAAATAAAATGTTCCTTATAAGGAAAAATGTAATACTTTTGAAAAAAAAAAATTGTAATACTTTTACATTTTTTCTAAAAAATTATTACACTTTCCCTTATAAATAACAAAACACTTTATTCCATATTAGTATTATATTTGTCAGTAGAGTTAATTTTATTTTTGGTCTAAGATTTATACGTCTCAGTCCACTTTTAGTCCTTTTTTTTTTTTAGAACACCTCATTTGTTCTTAGTATTATTGTGACATGCCTATTTTTGGTCCCCGATCTTTCAACAAACAATTTAAATATTGTTAAATACAAAGATATTTCGGTCTTCAGTTATAGATTTTTTTCAAAAAATAAACATAAAAATATAACTAGTCAACCCATTTTATATTTTAAAAAATAAGATTGAAGCGCCCTTGTACTTAACGGCATTTCAACGATTTTGTTGACAGATGACCAAAAATGGTCATGCCACAATAATACTAGGACCAAAAAGGATGTTCAGATAAAAAAAAAAAAAAAAAAAAAAAAGACTAAACGTGGACTACCACCTATAAATGTAGGACTAAAAATGAAATTAATTATTTTTCGATATAAGTATTTCACGGATAAAAATATATGAGACGGTCTCATGGGAGAGTCACTCTTTATTTATTATATTATTAGATAAGAACAACAATATCCTTGATGAGTATCACAAGAAACACTTTATTACTAGCTACATTTTGTGGGGAAGTATATTACAAGAAATACTTTATACATTATTGATTGTATCGGTTATTTAGTGTGACTACAAGACAGTCGTTATTACTTATTAAGAGATTAAGAGATGTGGTTTAATTTTTTTGGCCGGTCTTCTCTATCGCCCGCAGTCCAAATTAATTTATAGTAACAAGAAGAAAAATTAATAGGTAAAGTTTGATAGCATATAAGGACAGGAAGAACGCAAACGGCAGTTAATTAGTGGTCTGTTTTTTTTTTTTTTTGGTATATTCAGGGTTTTCACCATCAAACACAGTGATTAATTCGCTCCATTTTCAAAGATAAGGATCAAACCCTTGACTATTGATTAAAGATGGATACGTTCCTTCCCCTCAACCATACCCTTTAGGTTAATTAGTGGAATCTTTGTTAATTAGTTTTCTATATTTTAGTGTGTAGATTAGTTAACTACTTAGCTTTTTTTTTTTTTTTTTAGTACAGTTTACTAAGCTTTTTTTTTTTTTTTTTTTTTTTTTTTTTAAGGAAAGACATAATTGTATTAATAATTAATCAAGTGGGAGATACATGCCGGTGAAACAGATAGCCACGACCCTAGGACAGACGGAGAATCATTTACTCGTGCTAACACATGAGCCACATGATTCGCTGACCTCTTGACATGGTGAACAGACACGTTCCCAATGTCAGCAGCAACGATACGACATTGCTTAACTAACAAACCAACATATGAAAGGTCTAAAGTATTCAAATGAAAAAGAGAACAGAAATTAAGACAATCTGATTCAATAACTAAATTATTAAAGCCACTAGATTTAAGCTAGGAGAGTGCCTCCTTCACCCCGCCATGGATTCTGCCAACAAGGGGTCACGATCACAATCAATCCGGACACTCCGAGCCGCGACAAAACGGCCAGTATGATCTCTGATTACCGCACCATACCCAATACCATCCGAGAAGATAGCTGCATCCACATTACATTTTAAAAAATTAACTTGCGGAGGAAACCAAACAGTAGTACCTGGACGTCATTTATAGTGCTGGCTACCTTTGAATATGTCCATTGCCATAATGCACAGTATGTTACCACCTGTTGCTTAAGCCCAATGCTAGACAAAGCTATCTCCTTCCAAATTAGATTATTCCTTGCATTCCAAATTACCCACATGCAAGCTGCCACCCTCACAGCCTCCCATAAACTAGGACCACACAACACTCTATTTAACATAGAGCCAGCGAATCATTATTCAGAATATTGCTACCATTCCATACCTGATTAACCACTGGACACAAACAGAAGAGATGCTCCATGGTCTCACGGTCATAGGCGCAGAAGGGACAACCACCGCCTGCCCAAACATGTTTAGCTTTTAGGATTTCTCCAACAGGAAGAACATAACGCATGCAACGCCATAGGAAATTTTTCACCTTTGGAGGGTAGGTAGAGCCCAAAGTTTTTTCCATTCAGTGAATTGTAATTGAGGGTCAGCAGACATAGAGGAATTTATGAGCATATAGTAACCTTGCCTTACAGAATATATCCCTCTAGAGTCCCCTTTCCAATACCATGTGTCCTTGATGTGAGGAGAGATAGGGGTTGCCAGAATCCGATCAACATCAGCAGGCAAAAATAAGTCTTGTAAGATTTCTTGATCCCATTCACCTGAATCACTGATCAAACCATTAACTTTAGCATCACATAAATTGTCAACAACCGGAGTGACGAGAGCCGCGTTCATAGGATCGGCCAGCCACGGCCACCCCCAGATTTTAGAATTAGCACCATCACCTATTCTTCTTTTGACCCCCTCACAAAGTAAAGACTATGCAGCTAGCATGCTTCTCCATATATAGCTCGGGTTGGGTCCAAGTTGAGCATCTAAAAAGACACCCGCGGGATAGTAACTACTTAGCTTAGTTTGTTGGAGGATAAAATAAATAGAAAATAAATAGCATAGGACTTATATAGTCATTTTCTCCTACTTTCCATAACCGTTCATCTTCTTCCTTATATTGTAAAGGTGTGTACTGATTTTGCATAATATACATTTCCATTTTTCATCTTCTCAAACTCTCGTTACTCTCTCTGCTTCTCATCTTCAATGTAGTCCATATTCCAACATGGTATCAGAGCAGCGGAAGCTCATCCACGCTGCTGCATTTTCCGGTGCCGGAGAAGTCGATGAAGCGAAGCGACGCCGACACCTGAATAGCCCCTGTGCAATCCTAGTCCATCCGTAGAGGATGATTCCGATCCATCCGCAGAGGATGATTCCTATCCATCCGCAGAGGATGCGTAGCAACAAAGCCGGTGCTCGATCACCAGTTAGATCAGCATCGTCAATGATTCCGCAGAGGAATCTGAGTTCAGAGCACCAGATGCCCGTAGCCGATCCGCAGCGGAAGGCGATTTTCAGCGTTGAGAGGTTTTCGTTGTCCGGTAAAGCTAGGAAACCGAACAGTGAAATCGACGTGAATTTCTCGGAAAATTCGATGTCTCTGGCTGTTTCTGCGACGTCCGTTCGTGCTCCGTCAACGTCGAAGAGCTCAGGCGCCGCACGTTGCAAGTCAAGAGAGGTTGCAAATGACATCTGGAGATCTTTGGATCTACAGGAAGAGGATTTCGTAACCGACAATTCAGATTATTATTTCCAATGCAGTTTCAGCAGAGAGACGACTCCAACTAGCGATCAGCATCGCGGAGACACAGAGGTGGAAATAGAATCCGCCGCTGAATCGAAGTTAGCTGAAAATAGAGCGTTTGGTGAGGAGGTGTCTAAGCCAGAATCTGTTACAGGGCACGCACATAAACTCCTTACAACCGACTTTGATCTGGAACGTTCAGAGAACTTGTTTACGAACGATGAGGTTTTCGATGACCACTCGTTGGGATACTCTGAGCTCCAGTCGGATATTCGGAGTTCCGATTTGGATTTCTCCGATTATGATCCGTCAATATGGTACGATTCTGGCAGCCAATTCTCTGAGAAGCCCATCGGTGACGATTGTCCTTCACATAGCTTCCACTTGTCACGTCAGTTCAGTTCTGATGAAATTTCAATGGAGTTGGAAGAAGAGGTTGGAGAGCGCTACCGGAGGCTAAGAAGCAGAGAAAGAAGGCAAGTGTATCTACGCGACTATGCGGAGGAATACTACTTGGACGCAGGCTTCGGCGAACTCGTTGTTCAGAAATGCCTGCAGATGGTCCATTGGATCGTACACCAATCCACAAGGACTGAGCTTCAAAATGAGACAATGTTCTTAGGAGCTAGTCTCTTTGATCGTTTTCTAACGAAAGGGTACAACAGAACATATGTAGCATCTGATAAACAAGGAGCTGTAGCTGAGAAGTATGAATATCAGGCAGAGGTTAGTCGTCTGATGGATCTAATTGTTAACAGCTTGTACAGCAATAAAGAAGTGTTTCTTAGGGAGCTAATCAGTAATGCAAGTGATGCCTTGGATAAGTTGAGATTTCTTGGTGTTACAGAGCCCGAGTTTTTGAAGGATGGAGTTGATCTTGACATCCGTATACAGACTGATAAACATAATGGCATAATATCAATCACAGACACTGGAATTGGTATGAATCGTCAGGAACTTGTTGACTGCCTTGGTACTATTGCTCAGAGTGGAACTGCAAAGTTCTTGAAAGCCTTGAAGGATAGCAAGGATGCTGGAGCTGACAGTAATCTTATTGGTCAATTTGGTGTTACTCTTTTACATGCAACAAGAGTTCTGAAAGACTTCAATAATGCAAATGACAGTCAAAGAAGAGGAGTTCAGATCATTGAAAATGCTCTTAAGGCACCTGCTTTCACAATAGCACTGGTAACATATATGAAGGAACCATCTGTTGATCTAGCCATCAAAATTCTGGATGGGGCACCACTACGTCTTGGTGACAAGATTCCTATGTCAGTTTCGCTAGCTAAGTTCGAACAGAAAGGACACAAATTCATATCCAAGCAAGCAGACAAGCAAAAAGAAGAGGAAACTTCAAAAGGTTGAACAGAAGATGCTTGGTTTGGGTGGTCGGGATGATGCAAAGGTGTCAATTCCAACTACTGTTTTGCTTCGCTATATGTTTACACCAGCTGAGCTAAAGGCTGATGAAAGAATCTTATGGTCTGAAAAGAATGGGTGTATAAGGAGGTCCACCATCCTTGGTGGACTCAATGAGAAGCCTGGATTTGCAGTAGCAGTCCTCACTACCTTTTGTGTTTAAGCTGGGCATGTAGGATCTACACGCTTCAGCTTACGGGGGGGGGGGGTGTTGGAGGATAAAATAAATAGAAAATAAATAGCATAGGGCTTATATAGTCATTTTCTCCTACTTTCCATAACCGTTCATCTTCTTCCTTATATTGTAAAGGTGTGTACTGATTTTGCATAATATACATTTCCATTTTTCATCTTCTCAAACTCTCGTTGCTCTCTCTGCTTCTCATCTTCAATGTAGTCCATATTCCAACATAGTTAGCTAGGATTTTGTTTTGTTTTGTTATTTATTTATTTATTTATGTCTACCTTATTTTATTGGGATTAGTTTAGTTATTTATATTTCTTACGGAGTATTAGTTTATTAGGATTAATTTGCTGTTTGTTAGGATTTTACTTACCTACGAAACTAAAATTCTATACAATAAATACCCCTATTTATTGTTAGGATTGTATTAGTTGTGATAGTCTAGGACTCTCTCAGTATCCTTATAGAACTATCTTCAGTCTTTGGTTAATGTTACGATATTATTCCTATCCTCATCTGGTATTAGTTAGGCAGGTTCAGATTTTCTTCTTCCATGGCAGCATTCGGTGTGAATGATGACGGATCTGTTCGTGACTCATCTGAACGGACTGTCACCGAGGCTGTTCCCGCCCCTATGTCGGCCACCGCTAGTCTCTCGTCTGCCCATCACTTTGTCTCTCTGAAATTGACCGCGAGGAATTATCTTTTTTGGAGGACGCAGATGATTCCATTCCTGGAAGGTCAGGGTCGCCCGGGAGAGTCGTCGCCGGCAGCTTCGACGGCGGACAGAGGTGACACTGTTGTTTCGGATCCGCAGCAGTAGTGGCGGCGTCAGGACAAGGCTATTTTGTCTCTTCTCATCTCGTCCTCTCCGATGAAACCATGCATCTCGTAGTCGGCCGGTCGTCCTCGAGGTTGCTTTGGCTTGCGGTTGAATAGTCTCTCGGCTCATCAATTAGGGCCAGGGCCTTGCGGTTGCTTAGTGAGTTACATGGGCTGCGCCAAGGAGGGTCCTCGATCACGGATTATCTTGGTCGTGCCCAGATGCTCGTAGAAGACTTGGCTCTCGCCGGCCGGGAATTCACGTTAGACGATCAAAATCTTTACGTCTTTCGTGGCTTACGACCTGAGTTCCGTCCGTTGGTGGTTTCCTTGATGAGAGGTTCACCGGTCACTTTAACGAAGTTGGCTGATTTTTTGGTGTCGCAGGAGTGGATCTGCGCCGATGATGGCAGTGGCTTGGGTGCACCCGCGGCTATGGCAGCAAGCCGCGGCGGACGAGGAGGCAGCGACCAATCTCGCGGCGGAAATGGCTGTGGCAGGGGCAACCGGGGGCGCGGGCGCAGGCGTGGTCGCAACTACGGCTCTCGGTTTGGGCCTCGTTGTCAGATTTGCAACAATCAAGGTCACATCGCCCTCTCGTGTTATCGCCGTTACTCCAATTCGTCAGGTCCTCAGGCAAACGTGGTTTTTTCGGAGGCTGCTGGTTCAGGCACGGTTGGTTCGCATAAGTGGTTTCCTGACACGGGGGCCACGAATCATGCTACTCCTGATGCCTCCGTGATTTCATCTTCTGCTGGTTATGATGGTCCATATACTCTCCAAGTCGGCAGTGGTACATGTTTGCATATTGTTAATGTTGGTTCTGCTTCGATAGTTACTAATTCATGTGTTGTGAGATGTATGTCGTATGATATCAGGTGAAAGTATTGAACAAAATATTAATATTTATTATATTTGTATAAAATACTTGGTAAATAAATATATATAACATGTTTTGTATTATAACTTTGATATTTAATTAAAAGATAATGTAAAAAGAAGACAATGGACAATGTAGTGAATATAATAAATTAATAAATTTGAAGGTAAGGAATCTTTGAATTGTAGAAAATAAAGATAATATTAATGAAATTATATTTCTTTTAAATTTTTTTATAATGAATAATTTAAAAAAAAAAATCATTATAGACATCTAATTCTAAATTAATTAAATGCATACGTATTATTTTTTTGTTGTAACTACTAATTTATTTAATTTAATAAGAGTAATAAAGTGTTGTAGATACTTTTCATCAACAATAATGAAATCAATAATTTTTTTTTTTTAATTTTCGTTCCTTGTTAAGACAAATTGTTTTAAGAGTTTGTCAATGACAATTGATACAATTGCTCTCAATAGAGGATGATAATAAATAATTCAAAATATATGATTACAATAGATATTGTTATAATGATATAGTAAAAATTAACTTACAAATTTCTTTAGAAGATTTTGATAAAATTCTGATGTGCAAACTCGTTCAATTGTAGCTAGTAGGATGTTAACATTGTCAATTATTTGGAAAATGGTCCTACCGTTTTAGAGTTCATGTGTAATTGTATTTATGATCAACAACTTTGTAGTTAGGCCGCGCAGGTCTGACAATGATGTAAGAACAATTTTGTCCGATAAAAAAAATAATAGTATAATATTTGTAAAGTAATGTA